CGATTTTCCCAACGCCAACAGTCGTGCCGCAGTGGATGAGCCTTCGCGTAAGCTTTGGTCCTCCTCGGAGTCTTGGAACCTTCTCCTTCTCCCGCCTGACCGTCCGCTGGATCCCGACCTAGTCTCAGAAGATCAAGTTTCTATGGATCGACGTCACGCGGAAGTGGAAGTTCTTATAGCAGATAGTATGCCGACCACAGGCCACAGCGCGAACTCCGGCGCCAATGAGGTCGACACTCTAGCAGCTCAACTGGCCAATCGTCTCACTCTCGTGCCCCTCTCGCAGACCCTGGTGTACAAGAAGAATCAGTTGGCTGGTCTTGAGAGCATTCTGGGCTACAAATTTCGTCACATGCGACTGCTCATCCAGGCAATCACTCATGCGAGCTCGCTTTCCGCTCACGATTGGGGCTGCTACCAACGGTGTGTTTATCACCTCTGTTCAGTCTTATTTTTCGGTGTTTTGGTTTTACGTCAGAATGAATATGTTAAGCCGTTTCTCATTGGACGGTGGGTCCGTTGGAGCAGATTGCTGAAAGGGAAGTTTCGTGGATTTTACAGTCGAGGTCCCCGCTCCCTAGGGCACACCAGTCTACGAGTGAGCCCAACGGTGGCGCGTGGCTGTGACTTGCACATTCGTATCGTCGTAATGCCACTGTGACTTTCGTATTTTAGTGGTTGCTTATTTGTCAACTCGGTGTCCAACCATGTCTATGCGGGGTTCGCGTCTGTATATTTTTTAAAGCATTAAAGGTGGTCCCACTCTTTGCCTCCTCTGGACACGCTTGGCTAGCCTCGAAATCCTGTTCGTCAGGAGTGAGAGCGCATTGATGTTTGCGCCTGAATCTATTTATGGTGATGAAGGCCTGCGCTGCATTTGCATCACTCTCAGTTCCAAACCTTCGTTCTCCAATACTATGCAGTCCATCTATACGCATCCACACGCAAGACATGAATTGGAATTACACCCCAGCTAGCCTCCAGAATGGTTATCTATGCTAGTTTTATGACTCGAATCGTAACCGTTGTCCGACATTTTCTGTGCCTGGGATGTTAGGGCCCAGCTTAACTGCGGCTGTACGCCGCCCTTAGGAGTTGTTCGCACGCCAGACTACCGATCCACCCACACAGAGTGAACGTGATGACGCGCGCAGCTGCGGCCGGGCGCAAGACTCCATCACGCCAACTGCATAAGTCACAAAGTCCAAGAAGTCGCGCCTTACTTGAGGCCGCAATCTCATTGGTCCAATCTCGTGTGCATTCGCTTGCTTAGGTATGATGTACTAGGTTTGTACGAAGACTTTTAATTTTGCGCTCTTCTTGTTGTGCTCTTTCTCGGCGATTCATGCTAGGCGTAATTAGACGGCGATATCGCAGCCTTGGCCACATTTACAACATGGGATCCAACTGAAGTGTGCAGAGCTACAAGCTTCAAACTGCAAGTAATCCGTTTCTCATCAACTCTTTTTCCAGAAGAGGACTGACTTGTTCTGTCGGAGTCAGCCTTCTAAACGGTTATTTTTGATTGAGTGTAATAATTTCGGTCGCGTCAGACTGACTGCTCCAGTTACTAGATGCCCGATTTTAGTAATGTGGCCATTGCGAGGCTTCTCGCTTTGCTGTTGTTGAACTCTACTCCTCCCCTCCTCCGTTTTAGCAGGTAGTTGCTACTGTCATGACGCCTTCTCTTTCTGATTTCCCTTGCAGACTTGAATTCCTCGGAGATGCCATCCTCGACTTTGTGGTGACGCAGCGCATATTTGCAGAGCATTCTACTTTCAATCCAGGTGAGTTTTCTGGCCCACTGCTTATTTCTGTCGTCCATGTCTTTTAATTGCATCAGCGTCTGTGGCGGGTCCAGTGGGACCATCTACTTGCAGTTTGTCATGTATTCCCTCCTTGTCATTTATTCTCGAGCTGCATCCCTGACCAGTAGAAGGCACCTCTGGGGAGTAAAATCCATCAACTTGAAGAAGTAGACAGCTTTAAATACCTCGGGGTGAGGCCGCTACCAAATGGGCAGAGCAAGGTTGTCTCCCGTATTGATGCTGCTCGCTGGGTTTTCTCAATCCTTCGAAAGCG